GAATAAATGGCCAAGTGCCCCGATAACCAAAGGAATGTGCACAGTGTATAACCTTAAGATGGCATTGTGCTCTGTGGGACTGTTTTAGATCTGAGACCTAAGAAACGATTATAAATCATTATACATTGAAGCTTTTTTAAATTAACTGATAATACATACTATTTTGGAACCCGGGCTTCGTCCCTCAAACCTACTAATGTCTATCTGCCTAACATCACTACATTGTGCAGAGTGGTCTCCATCTCCTATGCTCAAGCCATCCTCCTTCCTCAGCCTACCAGGTAGCTGGGACTATAGATGTGACAAGCTTACAAGGGATCCTGCGTGTGGCTTACCTGCAGGCTGTAGCCCTTTGAGCACTCAGTCCATTGCAAGGGGGCTCATGGACTTGATGTCCCAGCTCCAGCAAACTCTGGACTTTGGTTCTTGTTCTTGTGGTTCTCAAGCCTAACAAAAGAAAGATTCTAATTTTCTGAGATCCTAAAATAACCTCAAGGCTAAAGTGGCTTCTTCCTTGATTTCATCTATGGGCTCTCATTTTCCTTTTGTGTTTAGCTTGAAAATTTCTTACTATTTTATTGTAGGATTATTTTATTTAATCTCCAGAAACTTCAGTATTTCTAGAGATTTTTAAATATGTCCATCCTTTTTCATTGTTTTTAGCTGTGAAGGGTAGGGTATGGAGGTGACTTGAATAATTTAGCTAAGACTGCTGTAAACAGGAAGTTCTCACATAGGTTATATTTTTTAAAATGGTGTAAGTTTAGTCTGAATGAGAAGTATGTATTGTGAGTATTGTAGGCCAGGCCTTCTCCCCCTTAACTCCTTCAAGAACACTTCAAGACAGATAGTACCTTTACTTTAAGAAGTACAACAGAATCTCCAAGAGGCCAATGTCACCTAACAAGTAATCAGTAGAGTCTGGTATTGAGCACAGTTATTTCTGACACAAAAAGGCTATTTTCATTATGGTGTGTTGTTATAATATTTTCCAACCTCCTTTTTATTCTTTTATTTTGAAATTTTTCAAACTGTTAGAGAAGTTGCAAGAATAGTACAATAAATCTGTACATTCTAGCCCTTAGATTCCTATTCACCAATTTATATAATTTTGGTTTCCACGGTTGCTTAGTACCTTTCTCTGTCTCTGTCTCTGTCTCCCCTTCCTCCCTTCTCCCTTACTCTTTCTCATTTTCCCCTTCCTTCTCTCCATTCTTCCATCCTTTCCTCTACCATTTGACAGTTAGGTTCAGATTCTGATACTTCACCATCTATCTTCTAGAAATAAGAACCTTCTTCTACATCCACAATGCAATTTAAATTCTGAAGGAAGTAAATATTGTTGTATTACTATTATCAAATCTGGAATCAAATGTAAATACCCAGGTGTCCTAATAAAATCATTTATATCTATGTTTTTTCTTATCTGGGATCTGATAGGGATCATGCATTTCCTTTAGTTGCTATGCCTATGACTTATTATTTTTAAAATAAATGGTCAGAAAAGGATTTGACAAGATGTATATATACAAGTAATGATTTGAATAAGAAGAACTTGCTCAGTTTATAGGTTTATTGCATTGCTTTAAAATATTTTATCAATGAGCACATACAATTTATGTAAATTTTCAAACAATATATTTTGAATAAATGGCCACATTTTAAAATAATATATGATATTCATGACATATTAATTTTTTGGTTGGTGTTTTTTCTTCCTTTATTGAAGACTCTTTACTTATTAAAAACTATTTGGTTTTGTGTGAAAATATATTGGGTTATGAAATGCTGAAACAATTCATTTCATATTTCACAACATAATTGTCACTTTATTTTGTTTTACTTAAAAATAGGACCACCCAGCCAAACGTGGTAGTGCATGATTGTAATTCCAGCAACTAGGAGGCTGAGGAAGGAGGATCAAAAGTTCAAGGCAACCCTGGGCAATTTAGCAACTTAGACTGTCTCAAAATTTTAAAAAGGGCTGGACATATAGCTCAGAACAAAGGCCCTACATTCAATCCCAGTATGGAAAAAAAAAAAAAAGTAGGCCCATCAATTTAAAATACCCAAGAAGCCCTTGGTAATAAATCACAATTTAATTGAAGGGGGAAAATATTAAGCAAAGGCGATTTTAGAGGACTGAGTCCTAGTCCATTTTCCATTGTCATAATAAAGTACTTGAAGTGGGATACTTATAAAGAAAAGAGGTTTATTAGCTCACAGTTTTGGAGGCTGAAAGTCTAAGTTACGTGGCCCCAATTTTTGGCCTCTGGTGAGGACCTCGTGGTAGATGCCATCAGGGTGGGAGCGCATGTGAGAGTGATCACATGGCAAGACTGGAAGCCAGAGACAGGGAGGCCAGTCTTGTCCTTCCATAAGAACTCACTCTTGTGGGAACTAACTAGGGTTCCACAAGGGCTACATTAATCTCTGCTAACTGCAGCATCTTCAATGCCCTAAGCACTTCCTGCTAGGTTCCACTGTCACACTGAGGACCAAAACTCCCAAAATGTGCACCCTTTGGGGACAAACCACATCCAAGTCTTACCAAGGGTTATATTCATAGTAGCTCTAAAATGTTGTAATAATGTGGCTACCATTCTGGATATCCCAAAAATATGTGTGCTATTCCTTGGTAATGATGCATTTTCTTTGTGTTAAGACATAGCTTGAAAATCAGAGAACATCTTTTCAAATCAAGAATCCACTATTCAATCCCAGCACTCAGGAGGGTGAGCCAGAAGGATTGCCATGAGTTTGAGGCCATCCTGGGCTACATAAGTGAGTTCAAGGCCAGCTTGCACTACATAGTGAAACCCTGCCAAAAAAATAAATAAATAAAAATAATCCACTACTTACCATATGTATAGCCTTAAACATGTCGTTTAATCTCTTTGAACTTCACTTTTCCTACATATTGGGGGTTTTTATATGTACTCTTTAAGTTTATTCTAAGGAAGAAGAAAATGTGAAAGACATTTTACACAGTGTAGGATACAAAGAATTGTTAGTTTTCTTATTTCAGACACAAATATCATAAAATACCATATCCTCCCACTTGACAAACTATTTAAGAATTTTGAAGATAATCTCAGCTACAGGAATTAATTCCATTGACCCATTAAGCGCATTCCTCTTGCCTAAGTTATTTTTGAACTCTTAAAACATGTCTATTGTTATTACTACTATCAATCACAATTTCCATTGGGAGTTGATTAAAGAATCTTTTTAATGTTAAATGAATTTGGGATTTCTTTTTCTTCCTTGATGGTATAATTATTGACATTTTTATCTATTTCATATATAATAGAAAATGAGTAACATTAAATCAAAAGGGTGTTAAGACCCATCTGATTTTAATGGAGATTTTTCATTTGTGGTTATTACATTGGTTTGAAATATTCTGTTCTGGTCAAGAGACTAATTACTACATTGTAATCTATTGATCAGTTGGTCTATCAACTGCTATAATTCATACCAGAAGAGTAAGTCTGATGCTGTGGTAAAAATTAAAGCAAATCTACTCTATTTCATAATTGTTGCATGAAAATGAAGTTAAATAAAACAAGGCAAACTAGATGAAGATGAAGCTTCTGGACAAAGACAGAAGGATTATTTCTTCTATTTTTGAATAATTTTTGTCCGTAAATATTAACAATATAGGAGCAATATCTTGTATAAGATAGTAAACTAAGGATAATCCCTATAATTCTAGTGACTCTAAGTAAAAGAGCTCATTCTAAAATGTATACATATTGTTAATAGTTATTTGGGTTAAATCTTTTAAAATCCTGAGTTGTATGTTTGATTCTAGGGACCTATTTTCATCACATAAAAGAAAAACGTACAACAGTGGTTTTGACTGATATGTTTGTTGAATGGTGGGTACAAGATTGACTGGAGTCAGATAGTCTTGATTGTCGAAGTGATTCTGCCAATAACTCTGATCTTGAGCAAATCATTTCAGTTTCTACAGAGACAAAAGAAGAGAGAACTTAGCCAGTCTTGGTGACAGACACCTGTAATCCCAGAACTCTGGGAGACTGAAGCAGGATTGCAAGTTTGAGCCCAACCTAGGCAATCTGGTGACTTACTGAAACCTTGTTACATGACACAACTTGATTCTTTGTTCCCCATTTCCCTGTCCTCCTTCAATCCCTCTTCCCCTTATTTACCAAAGCTTTGTTTCCATTTTTTCTTCTTTTCTCATCATTTTTCCCTTCCTTCTTTTCCCCCTCCTCCATTCCTAGTTCCCCTTCCCATTTGAACATTTTCTTCCTGTTTCACAATATCTGTTATACATTTTGGCCGTTATTTACACTTTCGATTTCTTGCACCAGAGAAACAATGTGGTATTTACACATGTGGCTGGTTTATTTTACTTAAGAGTATGTCCTCAAGGTGCATCCATTTAGCTAGAAAGGTCTAAAGTTTATCTTTCTTTATGACTAAATATTACTCTAGTGTATAAAAAGAAAAAAGCACATCTTCTTTAGCCATTCATCACTTCATGGGCATTTGGTCTGTTTCCAAGATTTAGCTGTTATAAACTGTTCTGCTACAAATATGGGTATGCATATATTGCTATGGTATGCTGCTTTTAATTCTTTTGACCAAGAAGAGGAATAGCTGGGTCTAGTGGGACCTCTAGTCCTAATTTTTTGAGGAATCTCCACACTGATTTCCACAGTGGTTCCACCAGTCTACATGCCCACCAACAGTGGAGAAGGGTCTCTTTTTCCCCACAGCCCCTCGAGCATTTGTTATTGGTTGATTTCTTGATGATGGTCATTCTTTCTAAAGCAAGACAGAGTGTCAGTGTTGTTTTAATTTGCATTTCTCAAATGACCAATGATGCTGAACATTTCTTCATGTATTTATTTGTCATTTCTACTTCTTCAGGAACAGATAAATTTTTTACTGTAGAATTTTGTTAAGCAACCTTAGCAGTTTGGATCTCAGTTTGGGAGTGATTAGGAGTTTGAGACTGAGTATGTTTATTCTCCTTCCAATGTCAGTGTTAAGTAATATGGTTCAGGACTGTCCATTTCCATTTTCCCATCCAGTAACTTTTTGCCAGTGGTGGTCTTTCATCCATCCCAGTTTTGAACTTGAATCAGGGAGGTGCTTTCTAAGGTTTCCATCCTTGGTTTTATGGCCATCTCATGTGGTTTCCTCATAAAGGAGATCTCATTATTTTTAAAGATGTTTTTGTTTCTTATAGTGATCACATCTCGATTTTTACTGATGGTCACAGTGGGTTTTGCCAGACAGCCCAATTTCCTGTGGGTTCTTCCTATTCCTTCAGTTACAGAATACTGTGAATTCAATCTGGAATGGTCTGTTTTAGTTGGATCGACTCTCTTTCTGCAGCTTCAGAAGTGGGGCATGTCCAGACTTAACAAAGGAAGACATATTATAAAACAGGTCACAACCTGATAGGTAAAAATAGAAGACAGGGCAGACACAACAGCAAAAGGCCAGGTCCTGATACTCTGGCTTCAGTTCACAGAGCACTCAAATTTATAAATATGTGACATGCACCTGATGTATATATGTAAAACAGAGCAGGTGTGCACTATGATCAGGATCATACAGGATCTCCATTTTACCTAAAAAAATTGGATTCCTTTGTTTAAAAATGGCTTAGTACTGCAGTCTTCCAAGTTTGGAAACATCACCTGGATAATGTTGAAAGCTACTTTGTCAAAAATAGAATGTCTTACTGTTCAAATGTCTTTGTGAAATGTAGATTATAAGTATAATGTAGATTATAAGTATAAATGGTATTGACTTGGGGTGTTTGTATGCATTATTCACATAATCAAGTGTCAAATTCTGCTACATAATGTTACTTGGCTCACCACAAACTTGAAATTCAAACACTGCCCTGGCTTGTCACTTTGCATACATTTCCGTTTTCTGTGGACCCTATCCAATTTCACAAGACTGTTGGGACTTGGGAACCATTAAATGTATAAAAGCGCCTCCCAATTATTTCCTTATCTCAAACCTCTCATCTGTTCTTGTTAGAAACTAAAATCCCTGACATTATCATGTGGAAAGAAAAGTAGTTCAAAGAAGAAAACCAATAAAACACAAAGTTCTTCAGTGAAATGCTGTCTGAATGAACACAGACAAAGAAGTTATTCATAAATCTGAAGTAACATTCTTTTAAATTTCATTTAAGGAAATGCTACAGTAGCTGAAACTGAAGTCTACATGTATTTCCATAACATGTCATTTTTTTCTTCCAATTCACATACATAGACTTATTATTATAAAGTTCTTCAGACTTCATAAGGTTTTCCATTTTACAACAGTAAGCATTTCAACATTTATTTTGGGGGGGAAGATGGTTAGAAAATTTTGTTAATTTTTCTAGTGGGGATACCAATAATTAGGTCTGGAAACATGAAAATTATCTAACACCTTTCCTTATCCCTTCCTCAAAATACCATAACAATCAAAATTTACTTTCATTTTTTAAAAACTTACATGGGTATTTCATTGTAAGAGAGGAAGGGAAAGACGTATGTGAGGAATAGGGGGCTATTCCACAGGCCTGTAAAATTTGGACTAAAATGGTCTGGTAGAAACGTACTGGGTGCTGGGCATTTTGCTCCTGTCAGGTTCACTGGGGCAAGAAATTCAGAGGGGAAATGGGATGGGAAAAGCCCCAATACAGAGATAGGAAGGTATGAAGGACCACGCAAAGTTTATTATCTCGAGTTTGTACTTTGTAAACTTTTTGAGAATAAGAATTTTCTTTCATCTAAGTGTTTAAAATATGGGTTCCCATATACAACAGTAATTGTACTTTTGTCTATTTAGTTTTCAGAACATGCTTGGGACCTATATGAAATTATACACATTCTTTACAACAATAACTCCATAGTTCCCAGAGCCTGCCTTCTCTGGCCCCAAGATCTGAGGCTGGGACATAGTTGTTTTCTGTTCATGGATGGGTAGGATTGTGAGTCATACAGTAATTCTGCCTAAATTATGGTAAACTTTAGGTCCCTGAGTCCCACAAAAGACTGGATTGAATTGGGGATTTTTTCTACCATCTTAGCAGAGTAAAGATTGCAAAGCCAAGGGAAGTTAATGTTCAGATAACAGGGCAAAAAGGGTAGGAAAGAGACAGGGATGAAGGGAGTTGTTCTCTTGCACCCTAATACCTGGTATATGTGGAAATTTAGTGAGTTTTAAGAACAGTGAGACCAATAGCAAACCAAGGAAGAGGCAAACTGCTCAGTTCTCTTCCATTCTACCACCCACCACCCACCCAGGCACCTACTACACAGAGACTAAAATGCTACTCAGATTTCTTGTCTGTCGCCCTGTCAGGGTTTCTTTTCCTTCCGTTCTCTTAAGCATCGTAGAAATGAGGTCAAAACTCTGTGATTGTCATTTTGTTCCAAATTCTTGAAATATTTTATTATTTACAAAGGTTTCCCTACCGACTCAGAACAGGACAAAATATGAATGTGCAAAACATGAGAGCTTTAATAATAAAAATTTTAGTTATATGCCTTTGGTTAAACAGTGGTCATTCTCAAAGGATTTTTGAAAATAAAAGTTTAAGAAACAACTTTTAAATAGCTTTATTTTGTATACTGGTGCATAAATAATATATTGATTGCTTAAAATTTAGAAAATGCCACCAAAAGTTGTATAAAGAATAAAATGAAAATCATATAAAATGTCAATGTCTATTATGCTTTGGAATCTATCTTTCCATACATACATTATTCAGACATATACCTACATCTTTAAGGGGAATCAGAGTACTGTTGTGAAATCTACCTTTCTCACCTAACATAACATCATGGCATCTTTTCACACCAATGTATGTAGACCCACATTATCCTTATTAATCATGTTCTATTGTTTCAATGCACCATAATTCAACTTAATATTTAAGATGTATTACCCTTGTTTTGTGTTTTTTTACTATTACAAGATGTTGATGGAAATATTCTTGGGCATACATCTTCACACATATGTCCAATTACTTCTTCCTAGGAGAGGAATTAGAGGGTCAAACAGTTTGCATATTTAAAATTCTGATACGTGCTGTTAAACTGTCTTGCAGGAAGCTTATGCCAATTATACTCCCACTCCCAGGATGTGAGAATGCCTGTTTCTACCAATCCAATATGAGTGTTTTTCTTTTTCTTTCTTGTTTTAAAAATCTTTACCATTAATAAACAAAGTAATTAATCTCATTGGTTTTGTTTCTGTAAAACTGACTACTGAGACTTTGTTATCCTGTATTTTTTTTTTTTGCCATAAGCAATATTTTTTTAAAAAAAACCTTTTCTTTTGACCATCTCTTAGCTGTGGCATTTTTTATGATTTTTAATAATCTTTATATAATGGGGATATCATTCTTAATCTCTGTGGATTATACATTCCTGAGGGCCAAAAATCCACATTCTTCATCACAATCTAGCCTGCCTCTAGTGCAACGCTTGGCCCAGGATAGGTACTCAAAAATACTTGTAAAATGACTGACTTCACCAATCCATGTATGTTATATAGTATTTTCCCAGTTTGTTATGTGTCTTTTCATCTTATTGTTTTATTTTCCCCATCTGAAAGTTTTTAAACTTCATATAGCAAAAATCTATCAACATATTCTTTTATGAATATATGATTGTATAAAGTCACGCAATTTCCCTATTAAGATTATAAAAATAACAAACATCTATGTAATACTGCACATGCCCAAAACTGTTGCAAACAGTACTTATATTCATTCACTTAGTCCTTCTAACAAGATTTTTGTCTAGTAGAGTATTTCAGATCAATCATACCCTACCCACAATATATAATTATTCCTTTTTAAAAGACTCTCCCAGCTATTCCTTTTAATTGATTTAATTATCTTTAATTTTCAAAATCAAAAAGAGTAAAAGAGATAAGAGGTATTTGTCTTTCCCTCTTACTTTAGTGGTCCCTGTTCTCCTTGTATGTATGTGTGTAGTTTATACAAATCATTGCATGCTATAAACATTGTTTTAAACCTACTTATTTAACTTCACTTAATAAAATACATGTTCTTTAAAATCATTTTGTCAACTTTTTGTTTTATTGAGTTAAATTTATAAACTTGAGGCCATTTTTTATTTTTAAAGTATACAATACTCTCATTCAAGTATATTATTTCTATTTTTTCTAGCTTTCCTTGTGTCCTTCACCAAATGTTTTCATTTTCTTGTTTAAACCCCATATTTCTCTTAAGCTTGTTTCTGAACAGATTTTTTAAAAAATCTTTCTCCATATGATAGGCTAGAACACAGTAACTTTATCCTTAATTTGCATTTACATGTTTACCAATGAAGTTGAAATCTTTTCATGCATTTATTGACCATTTGCAATCTCTATAAGTTCAACCTCTCACCTTTATGCAACTCAATGAGTCAGTATCAAAATCATATAGCCTTGAGCTGGGGTGTAGCTCAGTGGTAGCGCACTTGCCCAGCATACACAGGGCCTGGGCTCCAAACTCAGAGCTACAAAATAAATAAATAAATAAAAAGTAAAAGAAAAAAATTGTGTTTGCATCTCATAGCTTTATTTAGTATCTTTTCCCTATTTTCTTTCATTTGCCCAAAGTGATAGTAAACAAAAAAATCTACCATGGAAACTCTCCTTGCTACTGAATCTTTTTTTTTATTGCCACCAGTTTGTTCAGGGTCTCCACTCCTTTGCCTACAGGTAGATGATTTAGGTGATTATGGCTTCCCCTCTTCCCCTTGCTTCCCTCTCTACTTAAAAAGAAGACAGATGAAGTTTACGTGTGTTTATATTACCTTGAGATATAATTCCATTTATATTCCATTGTACACCACTGCCTATGAAATTCAGTTTACATTGCTAACTTTTCCTATCTTTCTCCCATCACTACCCTACATTTTTCTCATAGTTCAGTAAAACAAAGCTATTTCATGTTCCAAGATATGTCCCATGTTTTTCTGACCCTATACCTAATTCTCCTGCTATCACACACAACTGAAATGCCTCCCATTTTTTCTACCTTTTGAAATTACAACGCTTCTTCAAGGCTCACCTGGAAAATCATCTCTGAGAAAAATTTTCTGTCATCTTCACTTCTAAACTCCCAGAGGGACTTATTTCTATTTTTATGGTATCTCTCAAGCTGTCTGCCCATTTTATGATTGTCATTACTAGAAATTTATAAATTGTTTAAGCACAGAGAATATGTTTTATGTGATGGTGTGGTAAATGGACTGGTTTATCTGGTCAAGATCTGTTCAAAGGCCCATTGTTGGC